CAGTATATCTTATTCATTGGCAACAAGTGCCGTCCGCAGCGAACCACAGCGCCAAGCAGTGCCGCACGCCCTGCGCCCTGCGGACGCTGTGCGGCGAGTGCACCAGCGGCAGCTCCGAGTGCATGTGGTGCAGCAACATGAAGCAGTGCGTGGACTCCAACGCCTACGTGGCCTCCTTCCCCTACGGGCAGTGCATGGAGTGGTACACCATGAGCAGCTGTCCGCGTGAGTAGTCGCTCCGCGCGGGTCTCTCGCGTTTGCCGAGGTTTGCTAACCAAAACCCGAGCGAGCGGCGCGCCTCTGTTACGCCGGAGAATTATACGGCGAATTCACCGAAGGTAACGAGTACCTGATCTGAGGAGCTTCAAGCGCGTGACTCAGCCCTGCAGTATGCTCCGTGTCATGTAAAACCTTAACCAGAATTAGGCCCTGATTAAGGGAACTATCAATTAAACTAAATGGCAGATAACGTAGGCTTTGAAACTCGATGGAGAAATCTCTCTCTCTCTTTTTTTTTTTTTTCTATTTTCAAAGGGAAAAGGACTTGTTTCGTTATTTCAATTCCTAGCCTTCAATTTGATTCTGTTATGTAATTTCATGTGATTAACTTCTTTTTCTCTCTCTCTCTTTTTTAATCTCTTCTATATCTCTTTTTATTCATACGTGGAGGCATGTAATTTAATATTAGCTCATCTGTATCAAATCCAAACCGGGGAGTATACAAACACTTTATCCTGAAGTATTGTCTCCCTATATGCCAGAGTGAAAATTTCTAATTTATTTGAAATAAGAGATTTTCTTTTTCTTAGCAGATGCGAGCAAATTGCAAAAGATTTATGATGCTTTGAAATGCTGTTTTCTGTGGCTGAACGTTTGTTTTATTTTTTTTCTTTGTCAGAAGAAGTTGTTGTTGAATTCCTTAGCAATCAGAAAAGCCAGGGCTATTTGGGTATGTGACTAGCAGATGGAGAGGAATATGCTTCTGGTCCGCAGGAAGGAAGTTGGGCAGTTTGTGTTGCTGCATGAACTTCTGGAAGCTGACGAGAATAAGCCCGGATAGCTCAGACCGCTATAAATTAAGAGATGGAGAGAATTAATTTCAACTGACTGTCAAACACGAGTTTGTGAACTTCTCATGCTCCTAGAGGTCAAAAGTTGGAGGAAGCAGCAGGCAGGCGATAAGTGGATTAAAAACAATGCAAAACAAAATTGTCCCCCCCCGCCCCCCAAAAGGCCAATATTATCAATTTAAACATCAAAACAGAAATTCTGCTCAGCACGGAACACAGAGTGTCTGCAAATTCGTATTTTGATTTAAGGTTATATTGGGAAGGGAAGAGCAAAACTTCTCTGTGTATAAGAGTTTCTGTCACCCCTGAAGAAGTCCCATTTGGGAAAGGAACCGCTGAATGGCGGTGATGCTGCTTCCCCAATTTAGTTCGTTGCTGGGCCTGGGGAGAGCTGAACGTGGCACTCTACCTTAAGGAGTCGAATTGCTTTTGTACTCTGTGCTCCCTGACTCGGATAGATAATTTAAGTAGTAGCAGGAGATATCAAAATATCTGATGAGAAGAGACTTGAAGTACATAAATAAAGCTATTTTTTAACCTGTGCTTCAAAACAGCTCATTTTATCTTCTGCTTTGTTGCAAATCAGTGATCTTTCATAGTTGGGAACGGTCTGCTATGATTTTAGTGGGGGGTGTCAGAAAAGCCTTACGTGCATATTGCGTAGTTTCTTAATTCACTGATTAAATCAGCATTTGTTCATAAATGTATCCGATTATAATTTATCTATTAGATTTATATATAGCTATATATAATTTATTTATTCCAGAGTAAATATATAGGAATGAAAATATGTATTGTTATTATAGCTGCATATCAGGCTACAGATTTATATTTTGGGGGAGATAAATACTTTAGGTCACAGAGGACACGCAAGGAGTTCTGTTTGCGTTGTTGCGTCTGTTGCGAGACAATGATTTGTTTCACAATTCAGTTTTTGTTTTTTATAGCTGAAAACTGTTCAGGCTACTGCACGTGTGGTCACTGTTTGGAACAGCCTGGCTGTGGATGGTGTACGGATCCGAGCAACACTGGAAAGGGGAAATGTATAGAGGGCTCCTACAGAGGTCCGGTAAAGATGCCAACCCCGTCCGCAACAGGGAAACACAGCTTGGAACCTGTCCTAAATGTCAGCCTGTGTCCCGTGGAGACTAAATATAATTGGTCCTTTATTCAGTGTCCAGGTAAATGAGCAGAGTTTAGTTGTTCAAATGTTTCAAAGATTGCGAAACTTAAATGCGAGGTGAGATACTTTAAAACCTAGTGATGTCCCTGTTCCTTCTCAGTAAATGGAGGGACAAAAAGAGCTGGGCAGGCATGTAGGAAATGCACATTTTGAGGTGGAAGGAGTTGTGCAGGCATCTCCAGGTGAACTACAGAGATGTGCTGCATGAAGACTTATCTCAGATATTTTCTTTGATCTATGCGTTGTTCTAGTAAGACTTTTC